GTCAAGGAGGGTCAATGAAGCAATCCCTAGAACTCATAAAATATATGTACGGCACAAAGTGCCCATTGAAGTACTTTTCCATTAAAATATCTGCAGACTATTTCTCAATAGACCTGATACGATGATGTCACCATCCAACGCTCCAATGCAGTGCTGCAGGTTCAGGTGGACGTTAAAGATCCCACAGCGCTATTCGAAAAGAGAAGGATGTTTCTTCCACTGTCCTGGCTAACAATCCCCCACATACTAATTGGTCTTTCACTTCTTTGCTGTTTGTGGGACACTGCTGTGAGCAAATTTGTGTTCCATGTTCGCCTACAGATACACAGTCACTACACTTCACAGTAAAATCTTATGAAGCTGTTTAGAGACATCTCAACTACTTTTCTTCACTTTGTGGAATTCTCTATCCCAGAAGACTGTGGATGCTCAGTCCTTGAACATATTCAAGACTGAGGTTGATAGATTTCTAAAGGATAGAGGGATTAAGGGATATGGGGATAAGGCGGATAAATGGAATTAGGTTAGAAGATCAGCCATGTTCTTATTAAATGGTGGGGTAGGCTCAAGGGGCCGAATGGCCTACTCCTGCTCCTATGTCTTATGGTCTTATGGTCTAATTTGGTCACTCAATCCATGTTTTTTTTTGAGACACTGCTGTGTGCAATTGGCTGCTGCGTTTCGCCCACAAAGTTTACAGTCCACTACAGATTACAATATATTCTGTGACGAGCTTTGAGACATCTCGAAGATGTGATAAGGCATTATATTAAATGTAAGGATTATTATTATTATCTTCAGTGACCTCTCTTTGAGCCTGCCTCCAGATGTGAAAGATCCAATATCAAATGCAAGGATTATTATTATTGTTACTAAAGGCATTGATTCTTGCTGGGATACAGATTAAATGAGTGAGGTGGGGGAACGAGGCCAATGACATTTGCACTGTACTGTAGAAGATAATGAATTGGGACTATGCATTTATCTGGACTCAGATTAATTGTTTTTTATATGAATGGTGACAGGGAAATTTATTCAATAAACCAAATTATTTGTATATATAGTGTTCAATTAACCAATCTATATTCTTAGATTAGACATCCAAATGGTTTGGGATTTCTAAATTCTATTCAATAAACCGAACTACAACAATAACAACAACTTGTGTTTATATAGCGTAGGGTAGCATCCCAGAGGGCTTGACAGTGGCAGAGTGGGATACCGAGCCAGAGGAGGGGGGAGACCATGCAAGCACGGTCGAAAAGAAAGGTCTTCAAGCATGATTATTCAACTATTCAATTATCCGACATTATTCAATTACCCTAATTTCACTGTATTGTTATAAATATTAATAATAATCTTTTAGTGTGAGTTGCTAACATGTGTCAAAGACATGGAGCCTATCAGCAATCAGTAATAATAATAATCCTTGCATTTGATATAGCGTCTTAGCACGTCTTCGAGACATCTCAAAGCGCTTCACAGAATATATTGTAGAGTGAATTGATGGTTTATTTTGTGGATGAAACACACATAGATGTTCCTGGCACAGAAACAGAACTATAGAAAGTCATCCAATTAAATAACAGATCACTAAAACAGCCACCCTGGAGTAAATTCAAGATGCAAATCTAATCTCAGGTTTTGAAGCCAGTTATAAATCACTTAACAACAAGAACTAAATTAAATTTGTATACTTAAGCTTTGCTCTCGCACTTTATCACACCATCTGAAACCCCTTGATAAGATTACTGTCTGGTAATCACTCTGGTATCCATTAAAATGCGTAGCACCCTCAGTCGATATCTAGTTCTTGACACATTCTCAGATTTTACTAATGAATTAATTTCATTATTTAACCTGTAGTACTTTCCAAAGGAACGATTTAAAAAAAATATTGAAAATGTGTCTTGGTGGTTGACCCATTTGAAATGCTTTTCTAGTGGGACATCATGACAAGTAAATATAACAACAACAGCTTGGATTTACATAGCGCCCTTAACTCAGGGTAGAGTCTCACACCGTTTAACAGTGGCCGAGCCTGACGCCGAGCTGGGGGAGAGGAAGGAGGTGACCGTAAGTCCAGTTAAGAGGAAGATCTTCAGGCGTGAACTGAAAAAGGGGAAGGAGGAGGCAAGATGAAGGGAGAGAATTCAAAAGTTTCAGGATGTAGGACTGAAAGGATGGCTGCTGATGGTGAAGTGGAGGGCATGAGGGACAAGCAGGAGGCTGGAGCTAGCCGAGCGGAGGCGGTGGGTTGTTGACTGGGTATTAAGCAGGTCGGAGAGGTAGGGAGGTGCCACAGGTGGACGGGTATTTGAGGAGGACGGGTTTGCAGGGTTATGGGGAAAGAGCCGGGGAGTGGGATTGACATTACATTGCTCTATTCAAAGAGCCGGCACAGACTCGATGGGCCGAATGGCCTCTTTTTGTGCTGTACGATTCTATGATTCTATGATTCTATGAGGATCTTGATGTTGATCCATTCTGTGATAGGGAGCCATTGGAGCCTGGTGAGGTCTGATGTGATGGGGATATACATATTTATAGTGGCATAACACACATGTTTTTAAATAAAAGAATGTGCTATATCAAATGCAAGGATTATTATTATTATATTATAAAAGATTGAACCTCTGATAATGTAATACTCTCTTAAAACTGCTATAGAGTGTCAGCCTAAACTGTGAGTTCAAAGTCTTAGTGTAGGGCTTGAACCCACAACCTTCTGGCTCAGAGGTCAGAATGCTATCAGCTGAGCTAGACTGGCTCTTGATCAGTAACCAAAGACCCCTGCTAGAGGTGCCAATGTGATCATATTGGGTGAGGATAGGTTTGGGTTAACCTACGAAAATCCTCGCCACTGACACATATGAATAATGATCATTTCACTTGGGTGAGATACTCAAGGCTACATGGCACCTGTGGAACCATCTTTCAGGAGAAAGAAAAGAGAAGTCAAACAAATTTAGGAGGAAAGGGAGAAAATTGTTGAGAAAACAAAACAAGCATTTATGCTGTTTTTGGTCAGTAGAGTATCTGAAACATAGCAGCATACTTAAGAGTCTCCAAACCATGCTACTAAGAGTTTCAGATATGTATGGCATTGTTTGTCTTGTATAAATGCGCTTCCAGGAGGACGCAACCTCCTTGCTTTTTTCCAGAGTTTAAGCGCAGGTTGGCAAGAGTCACGTTTTGGGACCCCAGAATGTCCATTGAGTATTCACAGTTGATTACTGCCAAGTATAATGGAATAAGGAACAGTAATTTGCAAGGGCAAGGTCTCAATAACAGTCAAAAAAATTAGTGTCTGATATATCAGAAGGATTGTTGGCTAGGACACTAGGAAAATTTCCCTTCACTTTTGGAATAGTGTCACAGGATGTCTAATCTTCACCTGAACAAGCAGATGGGAGATCTATCCAATGTCCCATCTGATAGACTATACCGAGAAAAAAATAAATCATGTTTTCCTGTGCACAAAGTAATTTCACAGGAAAACAAATTTTAGGCACTTTGGAGCTTTTTAAAAAAAATACGAAGCTATCCCAAAATTATTTTCTGTACATTGGTTTGAAGCCCAAAGAAAACAGAGACAGAATGAAGGCTGTAAGATGAGCCGTAAATGTGTGAGCCACATGCGTAAGACTGGACAGGGTAGGATTAAGAGTGCAGTTTGCATACTTGCCAAGGTCAAACCATTCCCAGCACAGTGAAGCAAGAATGAGATAGAGAAAGAGAAAGGGAGAGGAGGAGGGTAGGGAATTAAACAGTCAGCCAGTTTGTTCACCAGTTTAAACGAACAGAGCTGCTGAAGCATGCTTGTGTTCTTGTAGCCAGATGCACAAGAATAAGTAGATTTGTTTCTGGCTTTGCAAAGCGAATGGATGGGAAGATTTGGGCACATATGTGTTAAATAGTGGGAGGGAATCAGAGAGAGAGGCAGAAAGATACAGAGAGAAAAGCATAGAGTGGGGCCCAACTCCACTGACTTCCCATCACACAGAGGATATAGGTCAAGATCCTGGTCCTCACTTTCAAAGCCCTCCATGGACTTGCTCCTCCCTACTTCTGCAACCTCCTTACCCCTTACCAACCTGCCCCCTCCCTCCGCTTGGCAGGCTCCGGGCTACTTAATGGCACCCACCCTACCATTGGCGGACGGGCCTTCGGCTATTCTGCCCCCACGCCCTCTGCAATTCCATCCCGCAGTCCCTCTGACTCGCTTTCTCCCTTGTCTTGTCTCCTTCAAGACCCGTCTCAAGACCCTCCTCTTCGTCCTTGCCTTCGGTCACCCTCCTTCCCCCTCTGTCCTCCGCCCTCCCTGATTCCGACCCTCAGTTCGGCTCCGAAGCACTGATTGTCCAGCGCCTTGGGACATCCTCCCAACATGAAAGGCACCGTACAAATGTCATTTTGTTGTTGTTGCTGTTGTTGCTATTGATTGCAGCACCAACCCTCTGGACTGAGTAAGCTTGGAAATGCTCTGCCTGTCATTAATTTTTACAGTTCCTACATTTAATTTACAGCTGTGCTTCTTTTTAATGTATAAAAAAATGAAAAGCATTTAAACACATACACGCAGATAGATAAAAATATATTTCAAATAACTGCTTCTCCTTTGTTTCTTTTGAGAAGTTAAAACAAGCGATTGTTTGAAGAAATAATAATAATAATTCTTGCATTCGATTAAGCACCCGATCACGTCGCTGAGACAATCTCAAAAGCGCTTCACAGGATATACTGTAAAGTGTAAAGTGACTGTGTATTTTGTGGAGGGGGGAAAAAAAAACCAAATAAATCTGCCCTTTGCTTTGATTATTTATTCATTGCGATGCATTATTCCTTTCCATCTTGGCTTCCAACATGCAGCTGAAACCAAGGGCACAAGCAGCACCCGAAGCACTACAACTCCCAGAAGGCATTGGGGGGGCGGGCGGGCGTGTGGCACATGCGCAGGAGAGCAAGAGGCCGCCGCCGCTCAGTGACGTAACATCCACGGGTCACCAGCGGGTGAAAGGTCAGAGTTGGTCGCTCAAAGAAACCCCCATGATTCCTATATGCCCAGTCGTTTCTTTCACCTACGGTAAGTGTCGAATAAAACGCCTAAAAACGCGCCGGTTTCGGTAACTGATGCTTTCTACGTGTAGCTGGGAGTGTAGTGATGCCGGACGGTGCCTTTGGGGTGAGCTCGCTAACCGTGTTTCCCCTGTTTTGCCCCCCCTCCCTGTTTGTTGGGGCGCCTCGCGTGCCGCACAGTGCCCGGCCGGCTCGGCGAAGATGCCAAAATGGCTACCAGTAACTACTTTGGATTTACCCATGGTGGTGCTGCACAGTACAGGTACGTGACCCACCGCCAGCGGTGCCTTCAAACACATCTCTTCACCCCCCCCCCCCCCCCCCCCCCCCTCTCCTTACCCTCCCCTCCCCCCCCTCCTCACACACACACACACACCTATACACTCTGCACACCTCATCTCACCCAACACCCATCTCTCTCTCTCTCACTGTCTTTCTAAACACACACATATTCTGTCTGGAAACTGTTTCTCTCTCCCCCCCCCCCCCCCCCTCCCTCTTATTTCTTAATCGTTCATCCTTGCCCCGCGTTTCTTTTTTTTTAACACAAAAAAACACCACCTCAAATTTCTTGTTTTTTTTCCCCTCTCTCCCCCCCCCTCCCCCCCCCCAAAAAAAAAAAAAAATTTTTTCGTCACGTATTTGTATAACTATGTGTTGGTGTTTAAAAATCAGCGTTTCCAGTAATCACCGAGTTTACCGTTCGGTGAATCAAATGAACAGTGTAGGTAACGAATTCTGTTTATTGGAAAAATATATACTGCATATATTTTTTAAAAGTCTTCAAATTGAGGTACAGGGTTAGCTTTAATGATGGAGGGATTTTTTGTACGTGATGGTTTTGTCAAGTGGATCAAACCCCCCCCCCCTTCCCCCCCACCCTCTTCCCCCCCTACCAGAAAAAAATTCTAAAAGTATTGTGTTGTTCCCCAGCCCTTCCCCTGCCTTTTAAGTAAACTAGGTTGCAACAATATAGATGTTTGTGTATCAAACAGGTAAGGCTAGTTAGACTGGGGTCTTACTCGCACCCTGTACAATGGAAAGACTGACAACATTTTGAGAAAAATGAATATTAATTTTTGTTAATGTATAACTAATATTTTTGGCCAATGTGTTCACAATTAAAGACTATTTAAAGACAATTAAAAACTAATTAAAGAATATAACCATACATAGATACCGTGTACAGTTCTGGTTGCTGCAGTACAAAAAGATATTGCAGAAATCAAGAAGATACAGAGGAGGGTAATGGAAGGACTGGACTGTGAGGAGTGACTAAGTATATTGGGCAAGTTCATGCTGGAAAAGAGAAGATTGAGAGGTGACATGATTGCTGTCTAAGATTCTAAAAGGGCAAGACAATATAGATCATGACAGGCTGTTTGAACTTATCCAGAATAGTAAAACCAGAGGACACAGGCTGTGATTGAAGGGGTAAATTCAAAACAAATCTATGCAAACACTATTTCAGTGAGTGAATAGTGAACCTGTGGAACAGGCTCCATAGGGAGACAGTTGAAGCAGGAAGTGTTGATTCTTTCAAACACAGATTAGATAGTTTTATTTTAGGAAATAACATGGGATATTGTACATGGGTAGTTTGGGACATATGTGCATGCGACTGCCAGGAAGATGGAAGGCGAACTAGATGGATCTTAGTCTTTTTTGGCTAGCATTTTGTATGTTTTATTCCATGTATTTCAAACGTGATTCTTAATTCTATATTGAATTAGTTAGCTAAAATAATCTTACATCCTACTTTCTTCCTCCCAGTCACTGCAGTTTTCTAACCTTTTTAAATGGTTTATTTGCATACTGTTATTAGTCACTTAATAGTTTTGAGTAATTTATGCTGAAGGCAGAACAGTGCAACCTAACACTATTGTATGAAAGTATAGTCCTGAATTATTTATGTTCAGAAATTTGAGTCTTAATGTATAAAACTTGCAATAGATTCAGCGAGTGAACTCATACTAGTCCATGTTTACAATTTAGCTTATAGATCAGGTTATGGGCTTGATCTCTGAACAAAATTCAGAGCTTTGCAAGGAGACACAAATAGAATTCATGATGCCTCATACACTGTGCATTAGTATCTTAATTAAAAATAGTCTTCAACTATGTTAAATTGAATATCGTGCCCTGCTTATATTACTGGGAATGATTTGAGATATTTTTTGTTGGTATTGCATTGTGATACGAGAATAGGATGTGAATTGTTGCATTCTGGCATCATCCAAACATATTATGTTTACTGTATTACTGGAGAGTGCAGGCTGCTGGGAGGGTTCATGTTTTGAATTTTAAATTGCCAACAGCCCCTCACCCACTTAACATATAGCTGCTACATCACTCGGACTGACCACCTGCTCTGCAAAAAGTCAGATACATCTGCTGAAAGCTATTGTAGAATTTATTGTGGTGAAGAATGATACAGTAGAAAGAGTTTGTATAAAAGCACATTTCCATCTAAAGGTCTTTAAAAAGAAATCCAACTAAAGTAATTGTTTCATCAAACCATTCTTGTAGATAGATGTAACGACTTTTCTATAAATTTGATTTACTATGTCTTGAGACTTATACGATTTGTATGCAGTGGGTAGGGTTAATTGATATTATCCATTTGCTGCATTTTTGTTCTGGCAACAGCTAACCTGGCACATTTCATTCCCCCCCTTCAATCAAAGGTGCTGACTGTTGGTGAGTACAATTCCCCAGGCACCATTTGCTCTCTGATAGGGTACATTCTTCATGAGCAGTATATGCTTTGATGAAGCTTTTGTAAAATTCAAATGTGTGAAAATCTGAGTCAAATCCAAAGCTGTTTACTGGTGCGTTCCATTTCTCTTTTTTTCCTGCAAAATTTAGTAGATGGTGATGAGGAACGGCAGTCTAGCTTTTTCTTTTTCTCCCTACCTCAGTGAGCTTAGGCAATTATAGTTCTCTGAGGTGAGATCAGCTAACTCAATACAGAAAAAAGATTTCATTTGGATCTTTATGGCTGTTATTATTGGAGTTGATTTTGTTTTAATTTTACAAAGAAACTGTTGCCTTCTCTGGCCTAGGATGCTAAAAACATTTTTTTTTAGTTCTCTTATGGCTGCTTTGGCAGCGATCAGCTAACTCAGCATTAACAGTGGATGAACAAGCTGAGTGTTTTTTTCAGTTTGTGTAGCTGGAAAATAATTCCACCCCAGGCGAGTTGGCAAGTATCTATTTTCCAGTTCTGGTCTTGTGCAGTTCACCCATATTGATGTATGCAAGTTGTTGCTATCAAAATCATTAATCCTGTTACTGCACTGATCATAAAAATTATAACCTGGAAAAGTAAATGAACTGTAACTGTTACTGCATACACATTATTTTACATTGTCTTTAATATGGTGTTTTTAAACCTGAGTTGATAGATGTGCGCTGAATAGTAAAGGACGAAAATATTATTGGTGTTGGAAAGGCAAGTTAATGGTGAAACAACTTGATATAAAAAAGCTTTCTTTCTTACCAGTCAGAAATTGCCTGCAGGGGCGATTTTAGGAGATATTTCTTCTCTGGAATATTCCTCCACTCCTCACATCATGATTTAAGATCTGGAATTATTGTGTAGTAGCTGTTGGATCCCTGAGGTATTAACATTTTCCAGATTTTGCTGCACTATCTTCCCAATAAAAAGCTGTTTTCTTGGTGCTTTTAGTAGTTTGGGTGTAGGTTTGGGTGCTACTTTGGGCTGATAGTCTAGCCTGATCTTGCAAATAGATTATTGTTAGTGGTACTATCCTTTACATCCAACATTAAACTGAGATCCTGTTTGCCTGTTCAGTTGAACCTTAAAGACCCCACTACTGGCAATGGGGTCTCCTCTCACTCCCTCCATGAACCCCTCCAATCGGGTTTCCTTGCTGCCCACAGCATGGAAACTGCTCTGGTCAAGGTCACAAACGATATCCTGACCACGTGTGACCAGGGCTCCCTCTGCCTCCTCATCATTCTTGACCTCTCCGCCGTCTTTGACAACGTGGACCACTCAAACCTCCTCCACTGCCTCTCCTCCCCCTCAAACTTCAAGGTTCTGTCCTTGACTGGTTCAGGTCCTACCATTCACACCGCCTCCACTTTGTCGCGGCAAACGGCTTCTACTCCAGCTCCTGCACCGTCTTGTGCGGCGTTCCTCAGTGCTCTGTCCTTGGTCCCCTCCTCTTCACCCCCTATATGCTCCCCCTTGGTGACATCATCCGTAGACATGGGGTAAATTTCTACATGTATGCGGATGATACCTCTCTGCCTCCACCCTCAACTCCAGGACTACTGGCGTTCTGACTGACTGCCTGTCCGACATCAAGTCATGGACGAGGGACGACTTTCTTGAACTCAACATCAGCAAGACCAAGGCCCTCCTGATTGGCTCGCACCAGCTCCTCCGCACTTCAGGCGCTGGCAGCATCAGCCTCCACAGCTACACACTCAACCTCACTAAGCCAGTCAGGAACCTGGGTGTCTTGTTCGACCCTGAACTGTCCATTCTCCCCCACATCCGCACTGCCTACCACCACCTCCACAACATTGCCAGACTCCGCCACTGCCTCACCCCTCAGGCTGCCGAAACCCTCGCCCACGCATTCGTGACATCAAGGCTCGATTACGGGAACTCCCTGCTAATTGGCCTTCCTAACTCTTCCCTTCAAAAGCTGGACTTTATCATCCAAAACTCTGCAGCTCATGTCCTTTTCCGCACTATGCTCCGTGAACCCACCACCCCCACCCTCGCCCGGCTCCACTGGCTCCCCATCCGTCAGGATAGAATCCAGAATCCTCACCCTCACTTTCAAGACCCTCCATGGCCTTGCCCCCTCCTACATCTCTGACCTGCTGACCCCCTATCAACCTGTCCACTCCCTCCGCTCAGGAGGCTCCGGCCTGCTCCAGGTCTCCTGCCCGAACAGCCCAACCATCGGCGGTGAGCTTTCAGCCTCTCTGCCCCCATTCTTTGGAGCTCCATCCACAATCCCTTTGCCTTGCTCCCTCTCTTACCTTCTTCAAGGCACGACTCAAGACCCTCCTTTTTGACCATGCCTTCCGCCACCCTCCTACCTCCTCCTGCCCTCCTTATCCCAACCATGCCCCCCCACCCTCAGGTCCTGATTCCTGACTGTTCATTGCCCTGGGACATCCTCCCAACGTGAAAGGCGCTATATAAATGTAATTTGTTGTAAGGAGTGTCAGGTGAATTTTAATGAAGATAAATGAAAAGTAATGTATATTGGAAAA